AATCCAAGAAAGACCAAAGAAGTGAAGAGATATTGTCACTGTCTAAATCTGAAATGGCAACGATGTCTAGCTAAAGGCAACGACGCGACGACTTTTCCAGTAGACGAAACCACAAACGACCTTAAGTGAACCAAATCATATATGGTCGGTTCATGCAGCAACTAGTGGTCCAGATATGAACAAGTGTCAAAAAAGACGGACCGCACATAGGGGAAGAGATATCTAACTCTCTAAGCAGCGAATCTAATCGGATATGGAAGAGGACAATCCTAAGAAAGGTTGAATGAAGTCGTCCGCGCACGAAATTAGAATAACAGAGAGGGTGACGTTGAGGTCACGTCTGGTCACATAATTTCACGAATTTGCTTTGTTTTTAAGCATTTTCTGGTGTAATTTCACAAAACCCGTATTGGATCTGAGGGCGTCGCGTATTCTGTAGAGATTGTCGGTCATAACGAACCAGATCATGTCTGGTCGATTCATGCAACACAAGTGGTCTGTTCGCGTAAGGTTGACTGGTAATGGTCCAGATCTGAACACAAATTAAAGAAAACGAACAGTGCGGAGAGGAAGAGATGTTCGACTCTATACGTGGTGAATTTGATCGGATATGCATGAGGACAATCTGGAGAGAGGCCATATGAAGCCATCCACATGCAACACCAAAAGGGCAAAGAGGGTGAAGTCAAAGTCATGACCAATCATGCAATTTTACGTATTTGAAACTTTTTTAATATTCTCAATACAATTTCATAAGACGCATACCGAATCTGAGTGCATCATATATTATGTGGAGATTGTCGGTCAAAACACGACATCACATGATCCCATCGACAACTCGTGTGACTTCAACAGTAACGCGAGTAACTTTAGCAGTGCGTGTGACTCTAGTGGTGCGTGTGACTCTAGCGGCGTGTGTGACTTCGATGGCGCATTTGGCTTCGGCAGTAATGCGTGCGACAATGGGTTTGACTCAGATAGTAGCACATGCTTTTTAGCTTCTAGAATCTATTTTTTAGTTCAAGATCTCTCTTACTAATACTAACTTGAATAAAAAAAAATTAGTAGATTAGTTCTGCCCAAAATAGAAATGAGTTAATGTTATGAACTTATGATTTATAATCTGATGATCGAGTAGATTACATAATTAATTAGTTAAAGTCATTCTTTTAAATTATTTTTTAAAAGATACAAATATGACTTAACTATTTTAATTTTTTTGGTTAAGAAATAAAAGAAAACTAGATGTTTGAAAAAAAAAATGCATAAAATAAAAGAATAAATTGTAAAGAAAAATATCAGGTACTAAATTATAACAAATGTCAAACTTTATGAACTAATTTAGTAAATTGTTCTTTATTTTTTCTCTAGTTTTATTAATTGGCAAGGAAATGCCTTCATGTTTTCTTTCGATAAGTAGATAAAAAACACATAAAACAATGGATGCGTCTACATAAAGAGAAGCGTGAGTCGTGTAAATGAAAAGCAAGAAAAACCATTGAAGAGGAGGCATGAATAAAAAGGTGAAACAAATTTATAAGTTAGAATCAAGCCATCACATAAACAACAAGTGAAACAAAGAAACATAGTTTGTGAAAATTGCTGAGATAACATATTATTACACCTTAATTTTGTCCAATCTAACAGAGGACATGGAATAGCTATCAAATTATCGTAGTTTTTCATTCTTGACATGAACACACTGCAGGCTCTGTCTTTATCTTCCTATACATTATTTAGGCCATTAGAGATGTTTAACACATTTAGAACACATTTTTTTATACTTGTATGTTTCTCTTTTTAAAAAAAGAATTTTGCCTTCAATGGTTATTGATTGTCTTTTTTTTTGTTTTATATTGTGCTATTTAATTAACCTAAAATAAGAATAATCCAAAACATAATTGAATTGAGCGTAAAGCTAGTTAACAAGGGTGCACAAAGATTTATATCAAATATGTCAATGTTTAAAAGTTTTTTTTTTAAAAAAAAAAAAGCTAGGAAGTTGATGTTTCACTTGTTATGGATGGGATATAGAGAATTGCTTTCGAGTGTTTATACTTGTCATGTTTTAATGGAATGTTTTATGTTTTTTCTTCTTTATTTGAATTCATTATTTTAGTTTCAATATTTTAGGGCTATTTGATGTCACTTTAAGCAGAAATAAGAGCATTACTAGCTGTAAAGAAATGAAATAAATAGAGGTTGTTATGGGTTTTTTTTTGTGCATGCATTATTTATTTCTCTAATTGGTGGTTGTTTAACATTCTTAAAATCGAAAAACTAGTGCAAACTAGGGGTTATATAGGTTTATTTTTGTTATGTCTCCTCATTTTTTAATAAATTCAATATTTAATAATGATATACTTTTTTATTACTATTTTATGTGTCTAAAAATAAAATAAAAAATTAGAAACTATTATGTGCATGCTTTGATATTCACCTATTAGAGACTGTTTAGTTAGATTTAAGATAGGAAACAAATGTGTTATATGTTGAATACATAGAGTTTGAGGCTGGTCCATGGTCTCATTAATTCATTATTCTAGTTTCACATTTATGAAGTTTTTTGCATATCATTAAAAATAAAAAACGATAATACTTATTACTATATGGGGATAGGGTTAATGAGGATTGTTGGCTTTTACGTTTGCAATTTAGTGCTCATGTTTATGAGGGAGCCTTGATGAGGTATAGATTAAAAGGTGATGTGATGCATAATCTCTTAGAAATAATAGGAATAAGAAAACATGAGGACGTTTTGTGCTTGCTTTATGCCTAATCAATAAATAATAATCTTTTAATTTAAAGAACAAAGCATATTCACCATGTTATTTTAATAAATGATTTTTTTTTTCTTTGTTATTTCAATCTCTTTTTTGAGCTAATTTTATTTTAGGTTTAGCTTTTATTTTATATTTACAAGTTTGATTTTAGTTTCTTAATTTATATCATGCATACTTAGTCATCTTCTACATAATATATCGGTAAATATGTGTCTTACCACTCCGCATTTAGTTTTATTTTTTCAAACTTAGTTTTTTTTTTCATTAGACCGATGTTTAGATGTCTAATCTCACTTTAAATGGCGACTCCATTTTGCATTTGCCACAAATTTTTATTTTCACAAAGTTTTACTCTTGAGTCACGTTGTGATACTTTGACAACTCCATGGATGACTTAAAATTTATTGGTGTAGGCTTTTACTTGGCTAACACCTTTTTATTTGTTTTTAACTTTTGTTAATATCTTAGTTTCTTAACTAACACCTTTCTTTTTGTTTTATTTTTTTTAATCATTGTTTATTAGTTTATCTTATAAATGCGTTCTTTAAATTATTTCGCATTGAAAGTTTTCATATGGATGAGTCTTGCCTAAGATGTTAGATTTTTTTTAATCTTAGAATTGTGAAACTTAGTGTAAATACATCTATTTTTATCAAACACGTAATAATTTTTTACTAAAGATATATTTATCGAAAAATTATTTTAATTATATTTTTAAAACTCATAACTGAGATTCTACTCGCACTAAACAGATATTAAGAAATGTTAAGTGTATTCAGAAATAAACAAATTTTGGGGCCAACATATTTGCATAATGATAGTACATATATTTATTTATTATGAAATATAATGTAAATGAATGTGATAATATACAAATATTTTAAATTTGAAAAGAAGTAGAACAATGGTGTATCATGCATTAAGTCTCTTTTCAATTATAAAAATTAAATGTTAATAATTCTACGTGTGCATGTTCGAGTATTGAATAATACATATTTTTTATAAAAAAATATATTAAATTTAATATTTTTCACATAAAAATGATCTAAAAACGATATTATTATTTTAGAATAAAATTAAAATTTTATAAATTAAATTATAACAAAAAAATATTTAATAAAAAAATATAATAATCTTAATTAAACATTCTCTAAAAAATATATACAAAATAAATTAATATTTTACCAAACATAAAACTTTTCAATCCTATAATCATCAAAATACCAACAATTAAAGAAAATTATCTCATTGGTTATCTTAAAAATAAGAGAAAAAGTTTTCTGTGTGCGAATTTCTAACGAATAAAATCCACTTGGAAAGAAAACAAGGGCAGTCCTGACATTGTTAAATTT